TCGCCCAGTACGCAACGCCGCCGCACAACCGCTCCCTACGTGTCCTCGATGTCAACGGACATTCCGGGCACGAATCGGACTTGCTGGACATCTTCGGATCAACTGCACCTCTCGAACTGCTCCAGCCATTGTCCCCCAGCCCGCCTCTTCCTCGCCCTCTCTGCCGCCAACTAACTCTGACACTCCTTCTGCACCACCACTTCCATCCTCCTCCTTCTCCTCCACCGCCACCGTGGTGGACATTCAGGCTGCCGTCTCACGCATCACCAACCACGACACAAAAACCACAACCACCCCCCACCTCTCCCGATTCCAGTGATGAGGATCAGGACTACACTTGCCCTCACTGCGACCGTACCTTCACCTCACACATCGGCCTGGTCGGTCACTTGCGAATCCATCGCACAGAGACTGGTGAACCAGTGCCTGGAGCACCAACCTACACCCACCGCACTCGCCTTCACTGCCCACAATGCCCTCGCACCTTCACGCATCGCATGGGTCTATTCGGCCACATGCGCATCCACGAGAGCGGAATTGACCGCAGGCTCGAAACACCCACCCCGCCGAGCCCCACTCCCAATCCATCACCTTGTGCACCCACTAACCACTCCCCAGCCGACATCGACGCCACCGACCTTACCACCCCTCACTCCTACCCTCCCTCCTCCTCTTCCTCCTTCACTGCCACAACGACGGCCGCCTCGGCGTCTGTCGCCCACGACTTCACCACAGCCGAACCTGACACAACAACAGGCACGACCCCTGCAACCTCCATCATCAAACGTGAGGGCCAGGACTACATCTGCCCTCACTGCGATCGCACCTTCACTTCACGCATCGGCCTGGTCGGTCACTTGCGAATCCATCGCACAGAGACTGGCGAACCAGTGCCTGGAGCACCAACCTACACCCACCGCACTCGCCTCCACTGCCCACACTGCCCTCGCACCTTCACGCATCGCATGGTTCTATTCGGCCACATGCGCATCCACGACGACCTGCGGTAGACAACCGCCGGTAACACCACACATTCCCTCACTCCCTACCTCCTAACACCATCACCCCACCAGACATCAACCCTCACACACCTCATGCACTCAACTGCCGCCTCCCACGCAAGTGGGAAGTGTGCATCTCGACTCGGTCCCCATGCGGCTTCGGCTGCACGGGTGACTTGTGTCCGAGACTATCCCGACACGTCAAGCGTCGTGGATAGGAAGGTTGCTGATTGAGGCCCGCTCTCGGTTCACGCAGTTCGTCACGTTGTGTGTGTGTGCTGTGTGTAGTGGCGGACTGGTGGGCTGGGGACGGGCTGAAGCAGCACCTTCCACGGCCCTCTCACGCAAGTGAGAGACACGCCGTTCAACCCCCGTTGTGTGAAATCCTGGTGTTTGTGTGTGTATGGGGGGGCCAGGTCGTGCTGTGGCGCGCGCAGGCATGGACCATCGACCATGACAGCCACCGCGCCCACTCCCCACTCCAGTCTGCTGACCGGCTCGGACAGCGGCTGGGGTGTGGGAGTGGGAAGGGAGAGTGAGGTCGACGACTCAGCGCACTTTATCCTCACTATAATCAATCTGACGCGCTTGAAGTTATCACGGTGCGCTAAAAGCCGTGGCTTGAAGGGTTGCCAACTGGCGGGGTACCTTGGACCTCCTCCTTAACGGGAGGCGGTCTGAGAGTCAGGCTGCAATGGCTCCTTTTTAATGTGGCCTTTATGGCATTCCCACCACAGCGTGCGATCCGAGCCAGGCGTTGGCGGCACGCCTAGGTGCGGCTTCGGCCGTGCCAGCCTCCAAATCTCTGTTGTGTTGGTTGAAATCCTGGTTATTGCTGTGTGGACCAGGGGGTGTGGTGGAACGCCAAGGTGAGGATCCGTCCGAGCCATCCACCTGCGGCCTCCCTCGTCTCCGGTCTTCTTGACTCTGTCTTGACACCGGGCCCAGGCGGGGAGGAGAGAGTGTAGGTAGATGCTACGCAATTCTACTGGCACTATAAACCCCTGCGTAAGTCACCGTCCCTGCTCCCACCGCTGCTGCAACTGTGGGGCACACGGTGGACATAGTCGAAATCGACGGTCGAACTGTCACTATGCCGTTTTTAAGGGCTTAGACACAGTTGTGTGGAAGATAGGAAGACGCCTGCTGGGAGTTCAGATGGTCGCTTTTACTGTTAAATTGCAGGCGATGAAAGCTGTAAGATGGCAGAAGCTATTTACCAGCCCAGAAGTTTCGCCACTTATCGTGGCCTAACAGGAGGCGTCCAGTCACAAAAGCCGAGTTGATTATACCAGTTATGGAGTTAATCTTGAAAATGTCTTTGACATTCAAATGTGTAAGCGAAGCGATCGATAATGATTCTGGGACGCGTGGAACAGCAGCACATCCACAAGTAGTCAGCATCTACCGTAGTCTCTGTAGGAGGGATCTTCAGCTGAACAAATCTCGAATACCTTACCACGCCCTAGAATACATCCCGTCAAATTATTGCAGCCTTCTTTATCTGAGCCAAATGTGGTAAACTCGGCGCCTTCCGTGAGGTTCGAACCCACGACAGCAAGGTTACACCAGACGTTTCACCTAATATGTGTCTACTGGTAAAGGCGCAATATGAGTAAGATACTTGCAAATGATTTACAAACAACCCTCAACGTACGAATGAAGAACTTGCGCGCCATTCCCAACTGATCTGCTGTTTGTTCTCAAGAGCTGTTAACGTTATCCATAAATGGGGTAGGTCCTATTCATTTTGCCCCCCCCCTCCAAAAAAACGGGCCACGTGTTAGATGCGCTGAGCCAACACGGAGACCACATCGGATTCTGGAAAGCGTTATCTTCGCGCAAAAACGAATGCCAACAACCAGGCGGTGCGCTGGCAGACCCTGTTGTCGACAGCCGTCGCACAACTGGGATCACTGCCACGCTCTCCAGTGTTTTGGCGGTCAAAATCCTGGTCATTTTTGTGTGGACCAGGGGGTGCGGAGTGGAGCGCCAAGGTGAGGATCCGTCTAAGCCATCCACCTGCAACCTCCGTCTCCGATCTTCTTGACTGTCTTGACACCGGGCTCAGGCGGGGAAGGAGAGTGTGGTAGATGCAGCGCAAGTCTACCGGCACTATGAACCCCTGCGTAAGTCACCGTCGCTGCTCCCACCATCTGCTGTGGGGCATACAGTGGACATCGTCGAACCCGACGGTCGAAGTCCTATTCATAAATAAATCTGCATACGCCTTAAACTGAGGAAACCAAATGGAGATGTGAACGCATTGAGACCGTTGAGCGAGATTTAGGGAGAATTAGCCTAAGATTTACTTTTAGAGCCTTGGCTAGATTGTAGCATGTATAGTGAACGCTTGGAAAACCCCGTAGTCGCATGTTCTGAATTGTGGTCTTGTTCAAAATTGCACGATGTGATCATGAAGCCAAAGTTTAGCAGCCTTCCGGACATTGCCTGTACGATGGGTCACGCGGGAGATGCGCACCACCAACATGGGCATAACTAGCGTTATTCGAGCTAGGCACTCAACAAATTTCACACACCAGGGGTGGGTTGTGGCAGTACAAGAGGCCTCGGCGCAGACTTACACCATGCCAACCAATTGCACCCAATCTCCGCATCAGTTGGCTGAACGGCTGGGACGGTGTACTGGTGCCCGGAAACGAGGTCGAGTCTGGGGGCTTTAATTATTAAATTCAAGGGTTCGCCTAAATAGCGTCCTGAAGAGTCTACTGTATGTTCGCACGTTAACTCTGGACGAAATTACGAACTGCAGTTAGCACCTTGCTATACTTGTGTGCGTCAAATCCATTAATCATTCAGGTTTTACAGCTCTGTCGTGATTAGACAAAAACTTCTCAGATAGCATTTATCTGGCACAATCTTCCTCGCCATAATGAGAGGATGCATGCTACTTGCATTGAAGTCTAATAATGTCATCAACCTCTTACTATGACCACAGCACCTTCCAGGGGAGCTTTTATAAAAGCGGATATTGTAAAATAGCTTTATTGTCGCCTAAGGGCGAATCAGAAAGAAAGATTCCAAAAGCTAAGGGCAGCGGGCAATGGATAGGATTGAAGACACTCCCGTCAGGGAGGAAATATAAATATAAAAATCAGATAAAGTTAGGGCCACCTAAATTCCCCATCATCGTCAAACAGGCTAGCAGGCAGCTCATCGCGAGAGTAGAAACTCGACTGCGTGCCCATACGCAGAACAGACTGGCTCGAAATCCATACGGAGCGACGAATTTTTTCCACCATCTTCAGACAGGGGTGCTTCGACATGTAGAAGGCCAGGGACCCAGTAAAGCAGTCACCTGCTCCCTAGATTACAAAAAACAAGTTGGATGGGCATTTGCAAGGTTAAGCTACAAGACATGTGGGGACATGCACATCGCACTTACTGTAGTGTCCAGCGGCTTTGAAAGGACCGGCGCACGTAGATGGAAAATGGCTTTGTCAGCAGGCAAATGATCACAATGAAGGACACGTACATCGACGGCTGTAACGAGGTTACCCTCAGATCTGGGTAGGAGGGCAATTACTCCATTCAGTCCCAAGGTCACTAGAGGGTACTTAACGCCACGCTTCCAAAGATCGAGGAGCCAGGGAATTGAGGCCTGAGGAATCTGCTCGAGCTCTACTTCCGGTATAGGAATGCCGGTGATAGCAGCGGCCTCGGTTTCGTTGGGGCAGACAATGCTCGAAGCCGCCAGGAAACGCGGCAGCAGGGGTGCAAAGGCTGAGTCCGAGGAAGGGGCTGGTGCAGGGTCCAGTATGGTCAGGACGTCGTGTGCGTTGGCCCATTCCATGGCATGAAGAGTGGCAGCGGCGTTAGCCTTGAAGATTATAATATAAAACATCATTATCCAAAAACAGTTTAGAACATCAGTTATCGTGTAAAGGCCCTCACAACAAATTCCGGAGGAATGAGAACGGAATGGAGTAACCAACCGAATTACCTCAACCGAGGTTATGTGAATACCTGTTTTAGCAATTAATGTCTTACATACAGAAAACCGAAAACGACGTTTCGGCGGTAATACCAGGAGTTTCTCTGTAACGACAACCTAGGTGTGCCAAAACCAAAGACGGTAAATAAAAATCGTAGACTTCTAAGGTAAAATTGCTTTGGTTACAGAAACTAGACATTCCTGCTAGTTAACAAAGGACATAGGTAAAATTTAGACTTAGTTGGCGAGTTCAATTTCTAACTGGTATGTAAAAACGACTGGCTTTTACTGTTCTGTATAAATGTAAGGTTTTGCAAAGCCTGTTGTATACAACACTCGTAGATGAGAAAGAGCTTCGGCCACGATTGAACTGAGGTTAAGATAAATTGGCCAGACGATTACTAAGGGAGGACAGAGTCTTGAAGTTCGGTGGATATCTCCAGCGACGTTGCCAAACATGCATCTGCCAGTCCGTGTGCCACATACCAAGCCAGATAGGCCAAAAGACAACTTTCCGGATCATAAACCCTGTCCTAAATTTGAGCTAAGGAGGCAAAATGATGCGTCAGTCGGCAAGGCTACAGAAATGCTCCAAAGACGTCGATGGGTGAGGTGATTGTACTTTGCTAGAGGGGGAGGAAACACTAACGCATAATGCCATTGTGCCTGTTATGGCGCAGAAACATAAAAACGTGGGTTAGAGAACAGGTCAAATAAAAATAATATGCGAATTAACAATGAAACAGGAAAAATGACACATGCCTCAAACTGGCAAACCATGACTTTCTGCGAAACCAGTCCCTTTTTGACGGCTTCATCGAAGTCATCAATTGAGATTTCGTTGTTTGCGCCCGGAACAATGATAATATGGTTGTTCCCAAATGTCTGTTCGACAGTTATAACCGCAACGCCACTGGCAGCCGTCGTACTCAGTGGCACAGTTTCTAAAAGGTACGAATACGTAAGTGATATACCGCTTGAGAAATACACGCAATAAAGACCGGTTACCCGCAGGGAGTCAGAAAGAACTCTAGGCAAGCATAAATTCGTTTCTCACTAAAATATTTCGAAAGGCAGAGCTCAAGCCAGAAATACAAGCAATTATCTGCTTGCTGTCAACACTAGTGGCATAGTACTCGAGGCCTTATAGATCGTAAGTAGCACGCCAGTGAAAAACAGGTATCTGGAAGGTAAGCTGTACGGGTAACTTTTCAAATTCGCCACTGGACGAAATTCCTTAGAGATTAGATGATGATGTAAGATTCTAGGACGGGTCTGGGAGAAGAATAGCACGAGGAGGGCGAATAGGGCGAGAAATGAATAAAGACTAAATTACACTGACGGCTTAAAGCACATTGGTGAGTTTCCGCCCTTAAACCACTTGAATATTATTAGCGTATCATTGATGACCTTTTGTCCCGCTAGCACGGCATTATCAAAACCTGAGGAGAAATAGATGCTAAAATAAAAATCTCAGATAGGTTTCGATCGCTCGTCCAGCGAAATCGTGAGGAAAGTACTTTTGAACAATAAAAGAGAAAATGTTGCGAAAGGGCAGTGTGAATGTCGCGTTGGCTGCTGAAGCCAGAGATTACAAGAGGTGGACAGCAGCATAGAAATGCTGCCACCGCAAAAAGAAACGTGAGGAGGAACAACACTTGGAAAAGTGAATATAGACAAGGGTGAAAACGAAAGAAACACAATAAATTGTGGACCTTTACTGCTTGATTGATAAGATATTGTTTTAAAGGCACACGCTATGAAACTGGGGGAATAACACATCTAGCGCAACTTGAAAACACTCCAATCCTCCCAACGTTTATGAGTACACCGATCGACTAAGAGACCTCGTTCACTCGCGAAACCATAGACTGCAGATCACCAAAACTTGAAGCTAGTACAGCGATATCATCGGCATAGTCGGGATCGGTCAGTCGGTGTCCGGCTGCATGCTAAACACCGTCACCTTCGGGTAGAGCCCTCCCGAGGGTCCAGTCAATAGTGTAGTTGAACAGAATGGGCGACAGGATACAACCCTGTCGGACGCCAGACCGAATACCAAACGGTTGGGGAAAATTGTTGTGGGCCAAAACTCTCGCGATGGTTAAGCTATAATAGGCCTTGATCATGGCGATGATTTTTGGCGTTACACTATCTAGTTCCATTATCTGCTACAGTGACTTACGATGAACGGAGTCGAACGCGGCGGCAAAGACAGCAAAGTAGAAGGCCGATGGCTGCTGGAAGCTATGGCGGAATTCGAGAATGCGCCTCAGCGTGAATACCTGGCCCGCACATCCACGTCCAGCACAAAACTCGGCTTGGTTAGACCTCGTACTGGAGTCACGCACAGCACTGAATCGTCTGAGAAGAACAATAGAGGAGATCTTCGCAGAAACGCCGATGAGGTTTAGGCCGCGGTAGTTATCGCATATTGTCTTGAGGATAGGTACAAGGACGCCTAAGTCCCAGTCATCAGGAACAACCTCGTTTCTCCACGCTTGACTAATCGCCTCATAGAGCGGGGGCACCCGAGTGTCGATACAAAACTGATAGATTTCAGCGGGTATGCCGTCCTCTCCGGGTGCCTTGTTGCATAGCTTTCGTATGGCATCGACGACTTCCCTTTCAGAAGGGAGATCGCATGACACTGCATAGTTTGGAAGGAATAAACTCAGCTGCAGACAAAACCAAAGGCGTGGTGGGTTGGGTATCGAAGTTGAGATGATGCTCGAAGTGCTCACGCCAGCGCTTGACTTTGGCCGAGTTGTCAGCAATAAAGCCGCCATCCACGTCGCGAACTCAGTATAGAGGGCTTACCACCAACCTGGCGGACAAGTCGCGGACAGTCATTCAGCATTAACTTGGCATATAAGTCGATAGAGTTTTCGAGTGTCACCAAAGTCCGAGGTCTGTTCCATGCAGATCGCTGTTCCAGCCCAATATTGCTTCAGGTCATTCCTGGCTGACTTTGCTGTCATCTTTCGGAGTTGGTGAAAAGAAACATCATAGCGGGGCCTGACTCGAGCCGTCTGACCAGACACCTGCAGGGTTCTTCCACTGATCCAGTCACTGCGGTGTCCCTGGGTACACCCAAGTATTTTCTCAGAAGCCCCATAGACTGACGTTTTCAATGACGACCACTGGTTACTGTCTTCTCTGTCGTCTCAGGTCGTAAAACAGGACCGGACTTCTCTGCTCAGGGCCTCAAAGGTGCTGGTTTGCCGGATTTTGGCGACATCGAGGCGACTAGGATGTGGCATTTTTGGGGCGAATGAGAGCTGAACTTTCAAGCGTGTACGATGACATGGTCCGACCCATGGGCGATGCCAGTCTCGGCATCACGCTCCGATCTGCTATCGTGAACCCAGCTGCGGAACCTTGAGGTGACTAGTATGTAGTCAATCTGACTAGTCGCATGACCGTCGTTTGAATACCAGGTCAGTAGATGTTTTTTGCGATGTTGAAAGCACGTGTTGGCGACAAGGAGTCGGTTCTGGCCAGCGAAGTTTATCAATCTCTCGACATCTTCACATCGGCAACCAAGCCCAAAGCGGCCAAGAAGATGACTGGTTGTGGGGTCGTCAGGTCCAGTTCGACCATTCCAATTACCAGCAACAATCAGCGGATCGCGACGAGGCAGTCTTTTAGCTAACGCTTGCAACTGCGAGTAAAACGCCTCTTTATCGCGCTGTTCGACACCTGAAGTTGGTGCGTACACAGAGACAATGGATATGTTCGTCAAGTAACCCTTCAGTCGCACGTAGGTCATCCGGTTATTGACTGGTTCCCAAGCAAGTAAAGCGAGGTCCGCTTGTTGCGAGAGCGATTGCCAGACCGTGTCTACTAGAAGAGTCGCGTAGGCCGCAGTGGTGCAGGATGAAGTGTGATTCGACTCCAGGGATCTTTAGTTCTCGAGAGCCTGTGTCAAGAAGTCAAACTTAAGACAGGCAGAAAACATTCACGCTGTGCTGATTAAGGATGCGAGACCAGACTTTGGGTACCGGGTTCCAGGAACGTTCGCACATTCCAGCATCCAATACCAAGAGTTCGTTCCCGATTGGGTAGTCCAGCTCGTACACTATTCACCAGCACCACTGGACCAGGGTTGCGGATCGCGCCGCTTCCCGCGGACGCCGTAGCATGGGTCGTAATACTGTAGCCGGACATATTTCATGAGGTTTCTTGAGAATTTTTAGTACAGACAGATCGCCAACAGCCGCTCAGATTGTTTGTTCGAGATTTTCTCCTTTAGCACTTTGGCCTAAAAGCCTAACCACAACGCAGCGATGGCAAACAAACTTATTTAATGGCGGTTCACGGTCGCAATGTCGCAGTGCCGTCATTGGGCTTTGCGGCTTTTTTATAAGGTTTTCAGTGTGCCAGACCTTAGCCGTCCGCACCCTGGTAGCACTGTCGCCGCTGGTCCGAGACTGCTTATTCGCCAGACCTGGGTCTGCTTATCTCGCAGCCAACCTTCACTGAAGGCCGTCCCACTATCCGCCACCAGTGGACGCGCCGGGTAGCCAACAGTTAGGTTAACGGGCAACCCGTCTTTCCGTCTTCCATACTAGATGGAACCCGAATAATATTTGTATACCGTAGTTGGGACTGTTGTGGTGTATGTTGGTGGCTAGGATAGCATGATCTTTGCCCAAAGAAAGACACATTTTGGAGCAATAGACAGCGAGCGGACATCCAAATGAGGGCGTCTGCTGTTCTCAGTAGGACTGTAACCCAAAAGTTTGGAAGTTGCTTGTTGAATGTTCGCTACTGGGACTGGGGTTAAACAAGATGTATTATTCAAGACGGAGTCCAAGTCAAAAAGTGAAAGGTAATAGGTAAGAAACCACTTTCACAAGATGAAATACCTGTCTCGACCCCAATTCGGTTCAAATATTCCAGATAACTTCGGCCGAATGCATCATCTCCAACCTATGGTAATTATACTAAGGTCAGAATAATTACCCGAGAAACAAGAGATACTGCTGCACCTAGCTTTCTTGCAGCGACACACTGATTTGCACCCTTGCCGCCGTATCCGATTGCAAATTTGGTCCCTTCGATAGTTTCTCCTGGGAGCGGAAATCTACCAGAATAGCTAGAAATAGGTAATGTGGGGAAATAATAGAACTAACCAAATGAGGTCGGTATTAATAGATCCGACAACTGTTAAATCCATAGTGACTACAGGCAAATAAAAATAACAAACAATGAGTTGCCTTATGCAAAAGGCTTACTTTTATGAACAAGGCTTGGTATATCTGAAGACACAGGTTTACTCAGTGAAAGAGTGGCCCAGTGAAGAACCTGATGAAAAGTCTCGTTTTTGGGTCAAAGAGTTTGTTGTACAACATTGTAAAAGAAAAATTGCCTAAAATCCCAAATGCTCAATTCAGAATCTGCATGTGTACGTTGAGATTCATTTTCCTTCAAGTCCGAAATGTTTCTCAAGAAAACGAGCAACACTAACTCCAAACCCTGTAGACGTGGCAAACAGAAAATGACATAGGCGAAGCAACTGTATGCAGGAGGCGCTGACAGAGTGATGGACAATTAACAGTACGGCCTGGTTCTAGTCGACCATTGAAGTTTTATTCTACCGTCCTCAGCAAAAAAGAGGAAAGAGTATAAGTCAGTATATCTGGATTACCAGCCCGGTGCCCACGACAATCTCCCAAGGCATTTACAATAGCTCATTAGAAAATAAATATCGTGAATTAGTGGAGATTGTCTTGCCGCCTAAGCAGTGCGAGTATGTAAATGATAATAAAGTTAGTAGTGTGAACCAAAAAAAGGTGTGGTTTAGGAGACCATGTGAAATCATGTAGTTCTGATGTAGACCCTCCACTGGAGCCGATAATTAGGAGGAAGTCGTTCACCCATTATTTTAGCGTTCAAAGATGGCGGGTAGTTGAATAACCTCCGACTGACCGTATCTGCGAAATGAGCATCCTCTCGAGTCTGACGAAGAAGCCTTGACGTACCAACAGCCACATAGCAACCAGAACGCGGAGGACTGCGGTCTGACACCGGCCACCTTATAAACGTCCCCCAAGCCCGATGATAGCACTGTGACATGGCGACCATGAAGGTCAAGAACAGTCCAGATGGCGATAGTGGACCGACCTGTACCTAAAATTACCGAGGAAACCTCATGAAAATGTCCGATCCAAACATAACGATGCACAGCGTCCGCGGCAACCCATGCGTCTTGCAACCCTGGTCCGGTGATTCGGACGAATAGTATGCCGGCTGGATGGCGAAGTGTGCGAACGTTCCTGAAACACAACGTCCAAAATCTGACGGTGCACAGCACGTCCGTATCAGATTCTTTGACTCGGACGCTCCGGAATTAAAGGTCTGGGTGGTCAACGCCCACTTTACCTTATACTACAGATGACTACGCGACTGTTCTGGTAGATAGGGTGTGGCGATCGCCCTCTCACAACAATCTAACCATGTGCTATCTGAGTGAGGATCAGTCGGTGACTGGTTGGCTTCCGTGTGACGAACATCTCTGTTGCCTCTACGTACGCACCAGCATCGGCTGTTAACTGGCGCGATAAACAACTAGGCCGCCACCACCGTCCTACCCGGAGACGAGGTGAAATCGATTTAACACCGACCGCTGATTTGAGTATTGAAGATTTAAATTCGAACAGCGCCTTTTTGTGAGCATGCACTTCTCTGGTCCTGGCCTTCGAAACTGCAAAGCATACTGTAGATGCAGCCGAACGAAGTATCGAAAAATGTTGCCCAGGATTTGCGTCCAGGCCAATGGCTCCACGTCACGCCATCCGTATTGACGCTGTCGAGCGAGCTAATGACCCTGAAGCCTGTTTTTTGCTACTCGGGCTGTATAGCATCATAACACTAACGCATTTGTTCCCTTTGAAAGTTTTCAAAAGATCTTCGTCGTCGAGAATTTCATGTTATTCTTCGTCATGCGGTGTCCAAATCCACTGGCACATTTTCAAGGACAAAACAGCATACATCACTTTAGCCTCCAGCTATGTAGGTTACCCATCTTTTATTTAAGCTGTCTCTGTCATTTAACGGCGGCATCTTCATCCAGAACAAATCTTCATATTTTAAGGCCATGCGGCAAAGGCGCCACGTGCGATTCGACCTCGTTCATCAGTGCATCAAAATAGTGCGGAAGGAAGCGGCTCGAGTGCGGACTTGGAGGATGCTAGTTCTGATAGCAGCTCACTCCAACACCATTTTTGCTGTCTACACGCAAGACTTACCAACTCGCGTAGATTTACACGAACAGCCAGCTGAGATAGGTCGCAAGGGTGGCCCTGGTATAAGACAGTCAAAATATATCACACATTCAAAGCTATTGCTCACTCTTCCACTACGGCTAGACATTTGTGAGACTTGACCGCGTTAGAAAAGTAATGTATTTGTACGATAATGGAAGTCACTTCACGTCTGAGGATTATTTCTGTCATCACGCAGCAAAGTAAGGCTAAGCTGACTGGCTTGTAGGTGTTGACTTAGAGCCATAAGCTGTCTTTGTGAATCGGTAACATGTACATTTGCCAGTTTTAATGGGTTCAAAAACTTAGAATGATCAGGGATAATAGCCACTCATGTCGTAAGTCCTCTTAACAGTGAGCCTATAAGTGACAAGAGATGAACTAAAAGACAGAAATAAACATTGATTTCTGACCATCTAAAAATTACGTGAAATGACCTTGCATACAAATATAATTAATGCAACCACTAAATGCTGTCCTAGATGTACATCTAAATTGAATTACAGATCTGAGAGGAGCCCTAAAACCATTGTCAACATGAGCAAAATTGAGATGGATACCTTTAACGGTTCGCTGAAGTGTAGTTTGGCGTTATCTTCGAGCTCCACTACTACTAATTCATGCACGTCGGAACGCCGTCTTCTACACCGGCTTGATTTTCCGTAATTAATGCCTATGTGCACTTTCGCGTGCTCGTGTAATGTAAAATGTAAGACACGCCTTATTCTGAAGGTATGTTTGGCTTGAAAATCAGTGGGTGTGAACAGGGAGTAAGGTAAGTACAGTACAAGTTCGCTTTTCTGTAAACAAATTCACACGTAGGGCGCGGTTCCACCCATTTCGTGGTGCGATAGTGAACCTGGTAGTTTGCGACACTTGAGCTTTTGTCTGAGATCTCGATTTCGTATGCGGGAGTATGCGGTACTACGTTTCTCCACAGGTATTACCACCTGCTTCCACAATGATGTCTGATGTTCTCTTGGGAGCAAGAAATACCGAATCCTAAGACCACCCGCGTGCCCATACTCGCACTGGTATTAAGACGAACGGAACACTAGCATCGACGCCATCTCTTGAGAAAGCCCGGGTGACTTAGTCTGATAACGACTCCTCCTGTCCTAGTTGAGAATGTAACTACCCACACATCGGGTCGAAAGATAAGCCGTATTTGTGCTAAATATCGCTGACGTCCAGTAGTTCGTGCCCATTGACATCTTCGTGGTCTCCGACAATCGAAATTGGTCAAACAGTGGACAAATGTCTTACGAAGAGGATCCACGCACCCCACCGTCTCCATAGCCTTCGACACTAACACCACCTACGACCAAACATTCAGCGTCTACCAGGGCGAAATTAAGGGAACTGGTTATAAAATCGTTTTCCTCGTTAGGCCATGGCAGTATTCATATGGTAAGTGGCGAAACTAGTAAAACGTTGATTCGAATCTTAAAATGTGTTCTAGACTAAAAAGGATTACCTAGGTGAGGTTTCCGTGTTAAGAATCGTGTGAAATAATTCTAGGGCACCTTATGCAGGACGAAATGTTGGCCTTAGTGGGCGCCTGTTTCGCCATTTGCGAAAATCTCACTCACTGAGGAATGGCAACTTAGGCAATGTTCATTCCCAACTAGATTTCGATGCCCGTATAGATTTGGAAAAATCCTATAGAAAGGATAAAAAACGCAATTGTATACTTACCTCGGGGAAAATAACGTCTTCTTCAAAACTCCCACGTTACTGGTGCGTCATGCTGCTTGAAAAACGCCTGTTTACTTTTGTTCATCTGCTATTCAGCTAAAATGTCTATGTGCTTGTTAGTTTTTAAAAGAACCGACGGCGTACTTCGCCTGAATGGAAGACATCAATCTTTTCACGTCCTTGTCGATGTCTCTGCTGCCCATGTATGCGCAGAAGCGGTGGGTCTAGCCAAAAGTTTTCTAACTAACCTTGACAATTCAGTGGAAGGACACCACCCCTGTGCTTGGAGAAATTTAAGTCTCGACTCTTTACAACGAAAAGAAACTCTTCGTTCTAAACGAAACTGTGACTAGGTGTTATCTTCCAAAAAATGAGCATAATAATGAATCTTTTGCGCATCCTCTCCATCTGTCATAGGTGATTTTACACAGGCGTCGAGGTTCAATAGAAAAAAATGCATACTACTGACGCCGCCAGGATTGTCGTCATGACCCTCACAGACAGCTGAAAGACGACCACTCGAAAGCCAGCATCTCTCTCCCCCATAAAAATCTTGAGATTAGTTGTCAGCCAGTCAGTATTGCAACGCCATTAAAATAAGCCTTTCTAGTCCAATCCAGGCCAGATTTATGACTTTAAAGTCTCACAAGTTCCGCTACTTGCCGTAATTACCAGGTCAAACAGCTACATGTTCCATATTCAGCGTCACAAAAGTGGACCATTTACTGCGTCAGATTCACAGACTGATAACTACAGGGCTAGCTTTCACCGCGCCAAATTAGGTGTCCGGTTAGCCATCTCAGTATCGTTGCCAGTCAAGGCCGCATCTGGACAAATTAACAGTGCGGACAATTTTGCCTTCCGGTTGGCTCAACAGACAACCGGTCGTTTCTCTCTGTGAGTGACGAGAGGACAGCCGACCGACTGAGTCCGTTGAAGACGCCATCAGGGAATTCGAAAAATGGAGCGTAGACAGTCTGGATTAAGTACGCGATGAGCGGTCACCTAGAGCAAAGGCCCGGAATCAAAATAAAAGGATTCCCCAACAAAAGCCTTGTACGCATGCGGGTTGGTCTTCTGACTGGTACTATGCCGTTTTTAAGGGCTTAGACACAGTTGTGTGGAAGATAGGAAGACGCCTGCTGGGAGTTCAGATGGTCGCTTTTACTGTTAAATTGCAGGCGATGAAAGCTGTAAGATGGCAGAAGCTATTTAC